GTCTCTTAGGCTACATCCACATTACTCCGTTTCTATTTGGATGCAGATTTGTCAAATAGAAACGATCTCCGTCCACACAGGCATTTCGGCATCATTTTCGAATTGATCTGCATCCACACGGCAGCCTTCGAAGGTGGACAGCACGTGACCATTAACGTACACTGGGCATGCGCGTGACGGTGTAAACAGGAAGTGGATTGGTTGCTTAGTTTAAAAAAATATGACAGAGTAATAAAGTAGTCTTTAATAATGAAAGGTTGTATTTATTTTTCAGACTCAGTTACAGCGCTGCGGGTCTTTCTCTCTCACATCAAATGTACTTTAAAATCAACACTTACACGTAAACGTTTACTAGATTATGGTCCATAAATGTGGTCAACACACGTCTCACTCTATTCTGCTCTTGCTTCGTGCAGGAAAGCTTAGCAGATCGCTAACAGTAGATCCGTGAAATAAAGACCATGGAATCCGTAGAAGAGTTTCAAGTCTTTAGTGTGAATCTTTCTTATTTGCAAAACTGTGGAAACACAATATGAAATATGGCTTTACAAACTGTCCCTATACACATACATGAATACAAAACTATGACTTCACATGATGATGCAGTCGGACATGTTACATAGCCATCATGTAACATGTCCGACTAGCTAGCTTCTAAGCTAATTTTAACATTACCACCAATGGAGAAATGCTAACCGCGATTAGCATTTATTACAACACAAATGTTATACTAACAGAGCGAATAGAATATATCTACGTATATCTTTTCATGCTTCATAAATACATACTTACAGACTAAGGTCTCTCAAGGCTACCAAAAGGAAGAAGTAAAACGTTAGTGCAGCGTGTCTTCTCATTAGAACATAAAAACAACGAGCTGCTCCATAGGGCTGATGCCGGTCACGCCGCTCGCTAATCACTCCAATAACAGCTGCTTCCTCCACAGAAATGCAGACTTTTACTGCACAACAGCTGCTAGCTGCTGCTAGCTGTTGTGCTAGCAGCAACGATTGAAATTAGTTATCCATGTTGAAATGAATCGCTGGTAGCCCACTTTGTTTTCTTCCGGGTACGGGTCACGTGATAGTGAGTTTGACGAATCAGGGAAGGAGACGTCATGGCTGCTAAGAACCAATCCAGTGGCGAACACGGGTGTGGGCGTCATTTTTTCTAAACTCCACACTCAAATGCAACCCCGGAGTTTTCAAACATCTCCAATCTCGGGGGTGTTTTCAAACTCCTCCGCTTAGGGTGCTCCAAAACTCTGGCGTAGTGTGGCTGCTCAGTGTAAACATAGCAAAACATACTGTATGTGTTTCCAAACAAAAACGGAGTAATGTGGACATGGCCTTAGCGGTGACGAGTGAGGCAGAGGGGCTGTAGACCTGCTGGCCACCAGTCAGCTGTTGCGCTTGTTTTAAGTTGCCAGTGTAACGTTAGCATGAAAGCATGGTGGAATAAGCTAGCAGCAACATAATGAGTGTAATTTAATAACTTAATGCTTTGTCCACACACTGTTGCCACAGTAGGAAGGCTCATTGCTATCACCAGATAAGTGACAACTTTGTTGGGATCCTTTTCTGTTCCCCGTGCTGCATGAAAGCATTGTGGTATCGGTGTCAGCCGATGATACCCAGAGCACGACAATATGGAGAAACATCCCAAAGTCACAAAACGAAACGCTCATTTAACAGATGTTTTTAGGTTTACTTTAACATCTGTCTGTCTGTGTTTCAGTTTTACCTTCAGATGTACGAAAAGTGATCATTGGTGAAGAGGAGGTTCTCCCTGAGCAGCAGGACTGGAGGTCCAGTCTGGACCAGGAGGACCCAGAGCCCCCACACATTAAAGAGGAACAGGAGGAACTCTGGACCAGTCAGGAGGGAGAGCAGCTTCAAGGTCTGGAGGAGGCTGATGTCAACTTCTCATTCACTCCTGTGAAGAGTGAAGACGATGAAGAGGAAGCTCAGTCCTCACAGCTTCATCAAAGACAAACTGAACAGATGGAAACAGAATGTGATGGAGAGGACTGTGGAGGACCAGAACCAGACAGGAACTCGGATCCAGAACCTGATACTGATGAGGAGACTGGAGACTCTTCTGAAACTGAGACTGTTGACAGTGGTGATGGTGATGATGATGATGTTGATGTTGACTGGAAGGAGACCAGAGAACCTCAGTCAGATTTAAACTCTCTGAATAATGATGACGTTTCTGTCAGTGAGTCCAGATGTAGTGATGGAGAGAAACCATTTAGCTGCTCTGAGTGTGGGAAAAGATTTGGCCTCAAGGGAAATCTGAAAACACACATGAGATGTCACACGGGAGAGAAACCATTCAGCTGCTCGGTCTGTAAGAAGTCTTTCACGCAGAGTGGAAGTTTACAGAGACACATGAGAATCCACACGGGAGAGAAACCATTCAGCTGCTCTGTTTGTGGAAAAAGTTTTACACAACCAGGAAGTCTGAGCCACCACATGGCGGTCCACACGAGAGAAAAGATGAAACTGCAATGTTTGTAATGAAAGACTTTTGTAAACACGTCTAAAGACAGAAGTGTGTCGGTTGTCAGTGCTCTGAGGACAATCTTCTGTAATATGTTTTTATATTTTATGAGAACTTTATATAATCATTTCAATATTTTGTATATTGTTTTCATAAATTTGTGTAACTTAAAGTTTAATATCTGCGTTTGTCATTGCGGATCTTTGGAGAGGACAGGAAGAGTTCATCGTAGACCAGATAACCTTTGATCACTTCAAATGTTTTATTCCAGGAAGCAGGACACGATGCTCAGTGACGTGTATGAAAGGCTGTTTAAGATCTCGTGTCCGTCCCTCACCTGTTCAATGAATATACTTTTTAATAAGATCAACATTGTTGCCTGTTTGATCTCTTCTTCGTCTGATTACATTTCGAGAACTTTCCTTTCAACAGCAGTGAAGAATATGTTCCAAAAATGTTCCAGCAAAAAAAGAGACGTGTCTTCCTAGTCTCTGGTCTACTCTCTGAGTCTTGCTGACCAGAGACTAAATGTTCAGCCCCTCTTGTTGGTCCGACCGACCCTAGATTGAACCAATGATCTTCTGTTTTACTGACAGTTCTTACATTAAACAAACACATTAATGGAATCACCATTTCCCAGTCAAAAAGGTCATTTAACCTATGATCCCGTTAAGACGTGTTAACTAGATCCTGTGGGTCGGAACCCCCGGGACTGTGGAGGGGAGGAACATTAGACCATCACGACACTTGAGAGGAGTCAGGATCCAGGTCAGGGACCCGAGGTCAAGCTCCCTCCCAAGCAGGTAGTACCTGAGGCTGTCTAACGCCCACTTGATTGCCAGACACTCCTTGATTAGTAGAGTACCAGGTCATTATACGCAGTGGTGTATAGTAACGAAGTAGAAATACATCGTTACTCTACTTAAGTCGGTTTTTTTGGGATATCTGTACTTTACTTTACTATTTATATTTCTGTTGACTTTTACTTCGCTACATTTTGCAAAGAAAACTGATATTTTTAATCTGATACATTTCCCCTGAAACCTTCTTTACTCGCTACAAAATCAAATCTATCTTTAGAAACAAAATGAATCATGAGACCAGCGTCGGGGACTGTGGTGGAACAGAGACTGTAAGCAAGCAGGTTTGGTGAATCAGTGGTCCTAGCTTGCAAGTTAAATCGTTGGTTAATCACGTTAATGCGCAATTGCAAATAAGTGCTCTCAAAGCCGCGGTGTTTTGATTCCCAGTGATGCTATATGCTATAGCTAGCGAGCGACTACATGAGTATAATTCCACTCTACGATGACTGATTTCATGATGGAAGCAGAAATGGAAGCACCTGCTACTCCCGCAAGAAAACGACGGTGGTGACGAAGACCAACACCCGTGGATCGCCAGCGAGTTAGTGAGCTGAGGAAGTGTTGACAGTTGTGCAGCACTAGTTGGCTAACGTTAGCTATAGCTAGCCACCACACCATAGGATTGACAGGAGCCGCGAGAGTGCAGTATTACGATTTGAACCGCGTCGGAGTTGGAGATGCATGCAAGTGTGTGTAGCAAGTGGGGCTAGCTAAAGTTGTTATGCTTAGATCACATGAACTTGCTAAAATCCTTCCCAGCTGTGTGCAAGCTGTGTGTGAAGCTGAACACACCTCTACCTGCCTCAGCGGCCTGTGAAAGGCTGTTTAGCATCAGGACTAGTCTTCAGCCCAAGAAGAGGAGACTGAATTCTCGCAATTTTGAAAACCAACTTCTTTTGAACAGGACATTTTTCAGGTTCAAGTAATGACTGGGTTGTTACTTTCGGTGCTGCTCTAGTATTGATCATGTTTTGATATTTGAGTCATTTTGTGGATGATCAGATGGAGTTATGATGGTAGCAGTCGCCCAATTGCAGATTCAGCTTGAGCAAAACCTTTGCCTGTTGTGTTCAAATCAGGCCCATAGGAGTTTACAAGGCAGGCGTCCTTTCTCACAACACTGACCTGATGCATCAAGTGGATATTTGTTGCTGAACACAATATGATGCCTTTGCCCTCTACATCCTCTAGTCAGAATGAGCATACTTATAAACGCACTGTTACAACTCCTTCATAGTGTCATATTGCTTTTCGGAGAATTATGATGATAAGTTCATAGTAGATGCAAAAGTATACTTATGTACAATATATTATGTTGAACATTGTTGCTCCTGGATGGATCACAGCCAACCCAAATATGTTCAACACAGCTCCATGTCCTTGGTCATGGTGCCACAGCACTTAAAAGAATAAACTTCATAATTCTCATAATTCTTTTTATTAACAGCATTTAATTGTACTTTTACTTTTAATACTTAAGTACATTTAATATCAGAAAATTACTTTTGATACATAAGTACAGTAAATATCAGATACTTTAAGACTTTTACTCAAGTAGTATTCTAATAGGTGACTTTTACTGGAGTCATTTTCCAGTAAGGTATCTTTACTTTTACTCAAGTATGGCTTTTGGGTACTTTATACACCACTGATTATACGAGACAGAAGCTTCCAGCTCGGCACCGAAGCCCACCCCAGAGGCATCCACCTGCACCAGGAGGACCCCAGAAAGCACTTTCACACTCTTCACTCCATGCCACGGGTTTACGGGCCAACTTGCAGGTGAGGTTGCAGAATAAATTCAAGCACATGAAATGAAACATGAGGGAGTTTGAGTTTAAAAATCTGTAATTTATTTATTATAATTAAAAATTTAAATAACAGTTACATTTATTGATATTCAAAATACATAACTGTCATAAATAATAATCATGTCCAAAAGTGTCAGTTAGTGATGATTGCTACATAATTACAAACTGATGCTCATCAGTCTATAAATACATTATTATGATACAACCAGTCATAATATTGATGCTTTTTGTTTATTACAAGGTAATTACAAATGAATTTACAGAAACAGAAAGCAGAGATTAAAGCAAAAGCATTGATTTAATATTGAGAAACTTATTTTTTATTTACAGAATGGAATTTAGGCCACAAAAATAATTATTAGTTTTCAAGTAAAATATTTCATAATTTATGTTTTCCCAATAAATGTAGTTCAAATCTTTATTTAGCTGTTGGCTTCTGAACTTGAAGACACGGCCAGCAGACAAAACTCTTCACTCGTCTTTGTAAATGTGAACCCATGAATCAACATCAGACACAAGGATCAAACACACGGGTGGTTTTTGACGAGCGACTTCTTGTTGAACCCTTTCCCACAAACACCACATTTGTACAGTTTCTCCCCGGTGTGAACTGTCATGTGCTCCATGAGATGAACGTTTTGTTTAAAACTTTTGCCGCAGACGGAGCAACGAAACGGTTTCTCTCCCGTGTGAATCCTCATGTGTGTCTTCAGGTTTCCCTTCAGGCTGAATGTTTTGTCACACTCGGTGCAGCCAAACGATTCCTTGGCGGGAGACCTTTTCTCACTTTGACTTTGACAGAGTCGAGACGACTCGCCGACACACTTGTGGGTTTTGAGCTGCGTGTACCAAGTGAATCTTTTGTCACAAGTGCTGCAGCCAAAGCGTTTCTTCTCCGTATGGACCGACATGTGCAGCGTCATACGTCTCTCGTGGGCGAATCTCTTGTCGCAGAAGGGGCAACCGAAGGGTTTCTCTCCCGTGTGAATTCTCATGTGTAGCTGCAGAGTTCCTTTCTGGCTGAAACTTTTGTTGCAGAATGAGCACTGGAAGGGTTTCTCTCCCGTGTGAATCCTCATGTGTGCCAAGATGTTCCCGCTGCAGCTGAAATGTTTCTGACAGACGGAACAGCTGAATGGTTTCTCTCCGGTGTGAGTCCTCATGTGGCTCATCAGGTGGTCCCTCCGGCAGAATGTTCTCCCACATTCGGAGCAGCTGAACGACTCTTTGTCAGCGTTACATTGCTCGTCGCTTCCAGAGAAGTCAGAGTTTGAACCTGACTGAGGTTCTCTAGTCTCCTTCAAACTGTCATCAGAGACTTCAGTCTCCGGTTCTGAGGGTTTGTCATCAGGGTCCGGTTGTAAGAGACTTTGGGGATCTGGGTTCCCTGCTGGTTCTGATTCTGTGTGAATGTTACTGTTGATCCGGTGCAGTGTTTTATTTCCTGTGTGGATCCTCATGTGTCTGCTGACGTCTCCGCTATATCTGAAGTGCTTCTTACACACGGAGCAGCTGAAAGGTTTCTCCCCCGTGTGAAGTCTCATGTGACTGATTGAGTTTCCCTTTTGAGAGAATCTCTTACCACAGAAAGAGCAGCCGAAGGGTTTCTCCCCCGTGTGAATCCTCATGTGTGCGTTCAGATGCGGCTTCCGGCCGAATCTTTGTCCGCATTCAGAGCAGCTGAACGACCGTTCCACAGAAGAACGGTGAACTTCTCTTATGCTCACTTTCCTGTTCTTTAAACCTGACGGAGGTTCTCTGGTCTCCTCCCAGTCCCCATCACTGACTTCAGTCTCAGAAGAGTCTCCTGGATCTGAGTTCCTGTCTGGTTCTGGTCCCCCACAGTCCTCTCCATCAGCTTCTGTTTCCATCTGTTCAGTTTGTCTTTGATGAAGCTGTGAGGACTGAGCTTCCTCTTCATCGTCTTCAATCTTCACAGGAGTGAATAAGAACTTGGTGGTATCAGCCTCCTCCAGACCTTGAAGCTGCTCTCCCTCCTGACTGGTCCAGAGTTCCTCCTGGTCCTCTTTAATGTGTTGGGGCTCTGGTTCCTCCTGGCCCTCTTTAATGTGTGGGGGCTCTGGGTCTTCCTGTTCTTCTTTAATGTGTGGGGGCTCTGGTTCCCCCTGGCCCTCTTTAATGTGTGGGGGCTCTGGGTCTTCCTGTTCTTCTTTAATGTGTGGGGGCTCTGGGTCCTCCTGGTCCTCTTTAATGTGTGGGGGCTCTGGGTCCTCCTGGTCCAGACTGGAGCTCCACTCCTGCGGCTCTTCTTCACCGACGATCACTTTTCGTACATCTGAAGGTAAAACTGAAACACAGACAGACAGATGATGAAACACACTTGTTTTCATCAGGTAGTAATGAAGAGGAGGATGTTTGAAACAGAAAGTAACTAAGTACATTTACTCGGGTACTCTTCTTAAAGGGACAGTAGTGATGTTGAGAGCTGTGGACATATTTCAAACACTAAAAGAGCAAAACATCAGTTTAAAGGTAATAATAAAAATTATAATAACTATTTCTTAATTATCTTCTTCCTCCAAACATTTGATATTTTTGTTTAAATTCTCATGACATCCTGACTGTAATAAATCCGTCCAATCATCTCCTTCAGACTCCTCCCTCCTCGACTCCTCTGTCCTTAACTCCTCTGACCAAATCTCCAGTGGGTGGGATTAGGACTTGAGGAGAGGAGACAAGGAAAGGAATCGAGGATGTACATATTGGGAAAACATCTCCAAACTCCGCCCCACTTTAACCCTGTCAGATGGAGAGAAGCTCGTCCACGCCTTTATCTCCTCAAGACTGGACTACTGTAACTCACTCTTCACTGGGATCACTTCCAAGAACATCCAGAAGCTGCAATACATCCAAAACAGCGCTGCCAGGATCCTGATGAGAGTCCGGAAGTATGAGCACATAACACCCATTCTGCACTCACTACACTGGCTCCCTGTCTCATTCCGGATTGACTACAAAGTCCTACTACTCACACATAAATGCATAAATGGACACGCACCTCCCTACCTACAAGAACTCATCACTCCCCAAATCTCCACCCGTACCCTCAGATCATCAAACAGCTCGCTCCTCCGGGTCCCCAACACCAAGCTCCGCACCATGGGCGACCGGGCCTTCGGCTCGGCAGCTCCACGCCTATGGAACAGTCTCCCTGACCACCTAAGGGCAACACAGACACTGGTCTCTATAAGACTGGCCTAAAAACCTTTCTATTCAGGAAGGCCTTTCTGACCTAAATCACTGTCAGTTATTTCTTTTGTGTTTCTGTTCATTCACTGTTTTTTTATGCTTACAAGTTATTTTATTATAGTTTGTTTTAACTATGTTTTTTTGCTATGTACTGGCTCTGAGGCACTCTGAGTTTTTTTTAATGAAAAGTGCGTTATAAATAAAATGCATTATTATCATTATTAAGTGAGAAAGGCCTCGTGAAACATAAATATTATTGATCGTGTTATAGGACTATTGATTGTGTTGTATGATTATTGATCATGTTATACGATTATTGATCATGTTATACGATTATCGATCGTGTTACGATTATCGATCGTGTTGTACGATTATCGATCGTGTACGATTATCGTTCGTGTACGATTATCGTTCGTGTACGATTATCGATCGTGTTGTACGATTATTGACTGTGTTATAGGACTATCGATCGTGTTGTATGATTATCGATCGTGTTATATGATTATTGATTACTGTTCTACAGGGTAGACCACCTGGACCCGGGCCTTCAAACAAAACAGCCCGGCTATGGATTAATTATGATGTTTGGATATGAAAAATATTGAATTATGTTACTGCTCTAACTCATTGTACTCTGAAATAACTTCCAAAAGGCCCCAAAGCACTTAAACAACGACTTACTGTGTACTTCTACTTTAGAGGGGAACGTTGTAGTACTACATTTACGTGACAGACAATGTTCCGGATTACGTTGCAGATTCAAATTTGACAATAAAAATATGATTCATGAAACTATCCAGCATCATATCAGAGCTCCACCTTGAACAGATGTGAAGACGATTTAAGGACATTGTGCTGGTAATTCATATTTATATCATATATTAATAGTTACTTTGTTTCTGTTCTTGTTATAACATCTAGTGATTACTAGTAATAAGAATAAATATAACTGAGCTAATATTTAGTCTTCCATTTTAAAAACCTGACTGTAGTTTATTTTATTTTCCAGTTAAAGGAGGAACGTTACTAAGCTATTATGACGTTATAGCGTTATTATGACATAACGCTATTGTTAGGTAATTCTTCCTGTAACTACTAGAACTATTATATATAATGTAATCAACTTAGAAACAGATCAAATAGTAAACACATAAACTCTCAATGGATCTTGTGATAATAACGCGTTAGCTCAGGAGCTAGCTGCAGCTAGCAGGCTGTGGATGAATGGTTGAGCTATAGCTAACGTTAGCTTAGCATCATTAGCAGAGCGGAAGGAGGACGACAAACCTTCTCCCTGCAGCTTCGCTTCTGGTTTTAAAACTACTGCTAGTTGTTTCCGGTGTCGGTCCATCTCGCTTAACGAACTAAATCATCGGTTTTCTGCCGTTATTTAGATTCTAACAAACGGCTTCTGTTCGCGGACTGCTCCAGTGTCAAGTTCCGTAAAACATAAACCATTATTTCCGGGGGGCAAATTCAAAATAAAAGCCTCTAGAGGACCACATAACACTTTTTTCAACACTTCTTAGTTTTTTGGAACCTACATTAAAAACAATACACACATACCGATAAATAAAGAATTCCTCTTTATATATCTAAATGCATCAATAACACTTGTGATTTAAAGTATTTGGTAATAGCTTGCGGACATTTATTCTGAAAGTCAGCAGCGGATGTGCCCCGGAAGCTGTATTGTTCACTGAGGCTAACTTCACAGTCTGTGACCAAGATGGCGTCTATCAGAAACACGTCTGTTAGCAGAGTCT